CGCTGGTTCTACGATAGAGGATGCACAATTACTTTCAACCTTGACCTCAAATTTTTTAGCTGAAATTGATAGCTTCTGTTCAATTCCAAGATATACGTGACCACGGCCAACTTTGGAAGACATGGCTGCTTCAAGTTTAACGACACTAGCTCGTCGACAAAAAGGGGAAGATGGCCGCGTGTACTCATGTCACGATAATCTTTCAAAAAATTTTTGGGGAGCAAAGCGAGTGTAGTGAAAATGATTCAATCCTACTTGAGCTCTCGTTTGCAAAAGAATTATGCGAAAAGTCCATTTAGAATGGGTCAAAGTGGGATTTACCTCCATTTGAAATAGACTTGAAAGCTTAATTTACTCCCAGCAGCAAGGAGAGTTGGGAATAAGCCCATTTTGACCTTTTCGCACATTTCTGATTGCGATATTTTGAAAACGTGTTCCCCAGCCCGTTTTAGAGTACAAAGTGAACAGAGAAAATTTTATCTTCTTCAGGCGAGCCAAAAGATGTATTTCTTCCTAATAGCTTCAAAATGCTCTGAAAATTATAGAAAAATATCCTTCGTAAACCTGAATTCACTACAAAATCTACAGGTTCTCAAGTCATCCGAGAGATTCAATCTAAGAGTAATGGAAAATATTGAGCTGCAAAATGGTTAGAAAAAGAGTGAAAAGTGAGTTGCTCTCATGAGGATGAATAAGTTATGTGAAATTAATCTTTCCATTTGAATCAGCTCCAAGATTCCACATGGGCCACGTATTGAACCTAATATATGGAGAGAACTGACGATGTAAAGTTGTCGGAATGAAAGTAATTTTTCAGCAAGTTCCCGCTGACTAAGTGTATCTGCATGATGCCCCTGTGCTCGGATTGGTCCACCGTTCTGCATCTATAAGAAATGCAGTCGTTTCTAGCATAGCAGTTGGTCAAATACCTAAGTCAAAAGGAATCGACTTTCTTTCTAGGGATTGAAGAGGAGCTGAACAAATTATTTCTGAACAGAAAGCGTTGTCTTTACTATTCCAAAACACGTACTTTGCCATAGTCATAGAGATCTAGGAAAGCGAAGACTCGAATATTACGGGAACGGCATGACTCACAATCTAAGCGAAACCG